TATTCATCGCCCTGATGACGGAGGCAGTATGACCTCTGAAACGTTGGTTAACATCGACCAGACTACACAGCGCAACAACCCAGAAGACGGAAATCTTCATACTCACCGCTGTGAGAACCTCAAGTCTTACACAGTCACGTATAATTGCGTGAGTTCATTTCGTACTGATTCTACAATGCAAGAACGACCAATTCCGCTCTGGTTCTGACTGTAACGAGCAGCCCCGTAAGAGAATTCACGACGGCCTCTTAAGTAGCGCGGTACCTAAACCCCCTTTGACAGTCAAACACAAACCACTCACTTCAACGTGTAAACAACTTGTTGCTGAAACCTGTTTGCTGGAGAAGGTCCTCGGCACATCAAACTCGGTGTAATAAAAATCGATATAAAACGCCGTTGTCCGAGTTTGGTAAAAGAACATTAAAATTACCCTCGAAGGTCAAAGCTGAAACTCTCCGCTGACAAAAATAATCAAAATGGCTAGATCTGAGGCTTTCACGGTGACCAATGTGACGAAGGCTGTCTTCTGGGATGTAGCACTATGTAGTGCGATTATGAAGATGGAGGTGGTACTTTCCTCCGAAACGTCGACATACACGGCGTCATAACCCAGATGACCGCCGTCAGAACCAAAAAACTTGGGCATTATGATAATTATGACGTCGTGTAAGAGGTATACATTTCGTTTACGATCTTAGCAACTATCAGCTTCTCAAGAATAACTCTGTAGCATAATCCAACGTTTAATTTCATACAATATTTAGGCTTGGTGTCTAGAAATTATTTCCCTCCTGTGCTGTTTGTGTCTGTAGACTATTTTCGCGGGCAAATGATTTGGGACGCTCCGAGCAAAAGGTAAGTTTTAGTTCGTTAAGTGTCCGTGTGTCTCTGGAAACAATTACTAAAGCAGGTAAGAGTTGAATTTCTAAGTAAGTATTCTTCAGATACAATTTTAATTCTATGAAAATGCATTTGCCTGTGTGTTGTAAGTTATGTTGTATTTTGAAGTATGTTTAATCGACTTGTGTAAATTATCATTAATTCTTGTCGGTTGCTTTGAGGCCCTTCAACATAAAATTTTATAATCCTCATCTAAGTTTATAAATTGCATTTGGCTACAAAACTCGAGATTAGAAAACTTCCCGTATCACGGAAATCCCAACAAATCTCTGCCCTCGTATCGTACGTATTTCAGTTATCAGAAGTTCTTGGCTGTGAATTCTGACGCCTGTCATGGGTCTTACTGCCGGAAGGTAAATTTCATTTGAGCGTCCCCAGCAAGCGGAAGGCGCCGTGCTGCTGCGAGATTCAAACAACAAGGCAGATGAGTGACTGACAGCTTGTCACGCGGAGAGAGACAGTTTTCAGTACTGTCAGATGTTCCTGAGGTTCTACTTGGCGGTCCTGCCTTACGACATGGCAGCAAAGTACACACAAGTTGGCTGATTTCCTCCTGACATAATTAAACACCTTAAACACGAATTCTGGATTTTGTCTCTGAAACATCTGATTCACTTCAAAGAGCACCTAACTCGAAACAGCCAACTGCCAAGAAAGTAACTCACTAGAAACAGCGATTGATTTAACTTTCGAGCATCTGATCGTTTATGCTTCCGCGCTACTAATTAGTCCCGTCCCCTTCTTGCTTAAATACCAAAAATAAAAGTTCTTGAAACTTTTGGAAGCTTCTATACGCGGGGTTAAAGACATTTTGTATTTCAATGTGAAATGCTTTCCCACGTAACTTTCTTTTTTTTGTGTGTGCAGATTTCGGACGTGCTTGAAGATGGCCGACACTGGTCCAGCCAATCTCATAGGGAAACTGTTCTTCAACATTGTGCAAACCAAATGCTTTGTGCTGAAGCCAGAGAAGCTGTGCGTGAAGCGGTCGTGGTGGGGGAAATGCCTCAAACAGGAGTACAGGAAGCAGGCGTACCTCAGAGACAACATCCCTTATTGAGGAACATGGCGCAGCGCGCAGTCATTCATGAAGAACAGAAATATGCGACTCAGAGCACGCGCAGTGCCTCTGGCCGCGAGTGCTGCCAAAGGAAGTCATCGTCATCGAGTCTGTCATCACTCGTCATCGTCATCATGACGCGAAACTCCTTTCCCGTAACTGAAGTCTGAAGTTCGACATTAATTGTTCAATACTCCTAAATAAACAAAAATTTGACAGTCCACTGTAGAACAGAAAGTTTCAGGACAAAGTGTGTGAGTCCCTGCAGGCAAGTTATGTAATAATTTAAATATTCTGGAATAAATAGTTCCATAATTTCGTTTTTAAATGCTAATATAACAAGAAAAATTTTTTCAGGAAATTGCAAATGCATATTCAGTTTTACGATAGCTCTTATTTACAACTTCATTCTAGGCACAAACATGAATTTGGGATAGTTGCTGTGTTGCCGAAACGGCGGAATAAAGCCGTTTTAACTTCACCGCCAATTCACATTCTCTTCTTGTACTCTTAGAGAGTTGTGAAGAACTCTTACTTAGAGAATCCATCGTCATTTCATCAAACACCAAAACCCACATCAAAAGACTGCATTTCTTCCTAATCATAGGAAGGCATATTCATTAAGAAGACTGTACGCATTTTAGGAAATGAATCTATGTCGACGAAATATTTACGTAAGGAACTTTGTTGTTTTTGTTCGGTGCTGAGTTAAGTACCGCCACAAAGCTAAGTGCCAAATGTCCTTAACACATGTACAAAAACATATGTACTTACATTTCCAGGTCACATTGAAAAATATGAGTTGTTATTAATATGATATTTTGTCGTTAATTACAAAGCTGTTGAGTATAAAAGGTAATTAATTATTCGGTTTTGGTCCGTCTAATCACAATTCAAATTTAAAATTTAAAATTTACAATTAAGATAATTAAAATATAATTTGATGTTCCTCATCGAACAATCGATTTACATTTGGAACATCTTTTTACAACATGTTTCGGTTTCTATATAAACCATCTTCAGGTGTAAAAGTTAAAATTATAAACTTAAAACCTAATTAAAATTTCTGATATGCAACATGTTGTAAAAAGATGTTCCAAATGTAAATCGATTGTTCGATGAGGAACATCAAATGATATTTTAATTATCTTAATTGTAAATTTTAAATTTTAAATTTGAATTGTGATTAGACGGACCAAAACCGAATAATTAATTAATAAATGGTTATCACAATATGACGCAACTATATCATCTTATAAAAGGTAGGTTCGGCGCTCTGTATAAGCTTTGGAACGAGTCCTAAATAGATTAAGGTTTCCATCTAGAATTCGGCTTGAGGCAACGCGGTCTCTGTCCATATTTTATTTAATTTTCAGGCCAAGGAAAATGCACGTGTCATAAGATTTACGTTAAATATTGACAGCAAACATTTGATTTGTACCAACTTTATAATCACTGTCAGAACTTCACGGACTACTTATGCAAACATATTCAGAAATGCGTTTGGGAGCCAGAGTTCTATTAGAGTCGTTAAGAGTCTCATGATTTCTCGCAGTGATTCCAGTGCCACGAACACAAATCTCGACAACATAAATAACATCGTATGTCATAAAATATTTTAGTGTTGTTTTCACAATTAATCTACGAGGATTCAGTAACTTTTTTTTTGTATAAATCGGCTTGTCCAACTGAAGACGCACACGTGTTCCAGTGTACCTTTTAGTAATTCTGAAAATTATAAAAAAACAAAGGACTTTGGTAAACAATAATCTGTCGTTCCACGCATTCGCGTTTATAAAACGTAATGCACCAGGGGATTCCTAACTGTAGATCTGTTGTATTTCATAGACAAAACTCTGATGTACTATTAAATAATAAATGCACCAACAGGAGTGCAAGTATTTGTTTTTTTTTCAGATTAATGACGTATTTCGAAAGCAGAGCTCAAATATGAATAGTCATTATTTGAAATCAAGACATCAGCAGTCTGAACAAAAGTCTAATTGGTGTTATGGCCCCGGAGAAACGAAAGCCTTGCACTTATTTTATTAATCAAGTTAATTAACAATTAAACAATAACTGCCAACCTAATGAATCCTTGCCTTTACAAAGTTCTGTTTCTTATAGTACTCCAGTAATGAGAAGTTGCAGTTAATATCTCGTTGTTTATTAAAAGTATTAGTAGTATTACTTAATTTTAAGTTATTTCTTTGTAGAGTGTTTTTGTATTTTTAAAATGATGTCAATTTTGAAACAATTGTGGTCTAATTGTTAGTACATATTACGTTCTACGTAAGCAAGAGGCAACTTTTTCATAAGACATTCGACTGTGTGATTTATGACAAAATGGAGAACACTTCTGATTATTTCCTTCTTTCAAGCAGCCAATGTTTTGGATACAAGTCTAACCAGTTGGAAGTAGTCATTAAAAAAGGTTCTTGCAGGCCCTATTATGATCAAAACAATGTCTAAACTGTGCCAAGGCGCTCAATGGAAATGTTTCAGAATATTTTGCCCAAAACTTAATTAAAATAGTAATCGAATTCGACGATTTAAACTTTAGTTATTGATTTGTAATTTTACTTAGCACGAAGAAATTTTAAGCGTTTAACATTACAGAGGAATATGAAAGCAATATTCTGCATATTATCGCTATTATTATGGGAAAAAAAAAATTGTGATACGATAGTTAAGGAGGGGGGTAAACAACACTGCACCTCCGTACACAGTTGAATTCTAGACCAGGATTAGCCAACTGCATCCAATCATCTTATTCAGACATATTTATGTGGTTCGCCACTAATTTCTTGTTTGCATGCACGTCCAAAATCTCTCAATTACAAATGTATTAATCTGTACAGAGAACGCGAGTGCGTGTACTTCATTTAGTCTGTCTTATGTAAATATTTAACTGGGTCACGTATGAACGAAAAGTTGCCACGAAAACTGTGTTGATGTTTCTTGGTCAGTGCGATTAGCGTACACATGCAACTTACGTGTGAGAGTGGAGTGTGTGTGGGTTCACAGACCATCAATTTGATATTGTCCTTATATATATAATTGTTTCGTCATCAGCCATACGTGTACATGTAAATCACAGTTTTGATGGAAATCTTTCAATGATATTTATAATTGCACAACTTTGAAAGCAATAATAAATTGTTATGTTGAAATAAGGAGTTTTATGTATATTTCCAACTCTTTCATTATCCACAGTTCAGAATTCTGCTGATATACTTAATTCAAAGATGTCCTTGTAACAAATACATTATCCTGTCATTTGGGGAGTACTCCTTTGTGATCTTGATTTTTAAAGGTGTTATGCAGATGATGTCTTACAGGCCAAGAATATCACTGATTAATCCATAGTTCGTCATCCTAAATCCAGGTAATTAGATTAATTAAACAAGAAATCGCTCAAGAAAGGCTAAGCACGTAACGTATGATTCGCTGCTGTTAATTTGTAATAAAAAATTAAACACTTGAAATGGAGACGGGGTTGGGATTTAAATTTAATGTAATATGAACGCTAAATCTGTCGTTCCACGCATTCGCGTTTATAAAACGTAATGCACCAGGGGATTCCTAACTGTAGATCTGTTGTATTTCATAGATAAAACTCTGATGTAATATTAAATAATAAATGCACCAACAGGAGTGCAGGTATTTGTTGTTTCAGATTAATGACGTATTTCGAAAGCAGAGCTCAAATATGAATAGTCATTATTTGAAATCAAGACATCAGCAGTCTGAACAAAAGTCTAATTGGTGTTATGGCCCCGGAGAAACGAAAGCCTTGCACTTATTTTATTAATCAAGTTAATTAACAATTAAACAATAACTGCCAACCTAATGAATCCTTGCCTTTACAAAGTTCTGTTTCTTATAGTACTCCAGTAATGAGAAGTTGCAGTTAATATCTCGTTGTTTATTAAAAGTATTAGTAGTATTACTTAATTTTAAGTTATTTCTTTGTAGAGTGTTTTTGTATTTTTAAAATGATGTCAATTTTGAAACAATTGTGGTCTAATTGTTAGTACATATTACGTTCTACGTAAGCAAGAGGCAACTTTTTCATAAGACATTCGACTGTGTGATTTATGACAAAATGGAGAACACTTCTGATTATTTCCTTCTTTCAAGCAGCCAATGTTTTGGATACAAGTCTAACCAGTTGGAAGTAGTCATTAAAAAAGGTTCTTGCAGGCCCTATTATGATCAAAACAATGTCTAAACTGTGCCAAGGCGCTCAATGGAAATGTTTCAGAATATTTTGCCCAAAACTTAATTAAAATAGTAATCGAATTCGACGATTTAAACTTTAGTTATTGATTTGTAATTTTACTTAGCACGAAGAAATTTTAAGCGTTTAACATTACAGAGGAATATGAAAGCAATGTTCTGCATATTATCGCTATTATTATGGGAAAAAAAAAATTGTGATACGATAGTTAAGGAGGGGGTAAATAATACTGCACCTCCGTACACCGTTGAATTCTAGACCAGGATTAGCCAACTGCATCCAATCATCTTATTCAGACATATTTATGTGGTTCGCCACTAATTTCTTGTTTTCATGCACGTAAAAAATCTCTCAATTACAAATGTATTAATCTGTACAGAGAACGCGAGTGCGTGTACTTCATTTAGTCTGTCTTATGTAAATATTTAACTGGGTCACGTATGAACGAAAAGTTGCCACGAACAAGCGATTTTAAAACTGTGTAGATGTATCTTGGTAAGTGGAGTGTGTGTGGGTTCACAGACCATCAATTTGATATTGTCCTTATATATATAATTGTTTCGTCATCAGCCATACGTGTACATGTAAATCACAGTTTTGATGGAAATCTTTCAATGATATTTATAATTGCACAACTTTGAAAGCAATAATAAATTGTTATGTTGAAATAAGGAGTTTTATGTATATTTCCAACTCTTTCATTATCCACAGTTCAGAATTCTGCTGATATACTTAATTCAAAGATGTCCTTGTAACAAAAACATTATCCTGTCATTTGTGATCTTGATTTTTAAAGGTGTTATGCAGATGATGTCTTACAGGCCAAGAATATCACTGATTAATCCATAGTTCGTCATCCTAAATCCAGGTAATTAGATTAATTAAACAAGAAAACGCTCAAGAAAGGCCAAGCACGTAAACTATGATTCGCTACTGTATTTTGTTAACAAAAAAATTTAAATTTAATGTAATATGAACGCTACTAGTTCGGATAAAACTTGTTTTAGGTTTTTCTTCACAAAAAACTTGCTCAGTACGTTGCTTCTTCTTAACAGAAATAGACTACAAGTCGAAATGTCTCAAGGTCAGCATCTTTTTATCTTTTTACAGATTCCGGAGCGGACGATAAAAGTATCGATTAATACGCCCGGAGTGTTCTATAAAAAATTAAACTTCAGTGTTTTCTTAAATTAGATTGTAACGTAATAAAGCACATATAATACTATTCAACAAATATTGTCATGGTTATTACATCAGACAGTCGTGACATGTAACACTAATGGAGGAAATAAAGAAACGTTTACACAATTTCAATCAGAAAGCTTGAAAGGAAGACTTCACTTTGGCGACTTATGGTACAGGTGTGCAGTGGGTGCATGTAACTCAGCGCACAGGGATGGCTAACAGGACGTGAATTTGTTACCACCTGAACGTCTATCGGATTTTTAAGAGATCTACTCCATGATTACGTTTACAATTACAAAGTCTGTGCAGTTTTCAGAGACAGATTTCACCTATAATGAAGAAGATAAACAACGACTCTTGGATCTACTCAGAATGTTAATTCGAAGAAATGAAAAGTATGACGTGTGTCCCCAATGACCAGAATGCACAGGATAGCACACTGACTGCTGCAGGCTAGAAATAATACAAGAACAAACTATTTTACCCACACCAGGCACATTTCAGTCCTACAGGGCCATCACCAACGTCTGGTATTTCGTTCAGAACATAATAAATACGCTAAGGTCACTGAATCTAAACAACGTCGTTATTCAGAGAGACTGAAACAGTTGTGCACAATATTACCATTTATTCAAAATTCTTTAAAATGCTATTAACCCCTTATCATAACACCATTTTGCATGCTACGTCATCACCCCTCCCACGTTTCTACTTTAGCGTACGCCATTGTGGCTTCCTACCTTTTTGATCCACTCCTTGTATGACGCACCATTTGCTTTCTCCTGTTGTAAATCACCACTACTCATCACAATCTTCGTCATCATGGTTTCGAATCACCACCTATTGTTTCACCTTTCTGCACATTATCTGCGCGATGAGCAACCTTGATTAGGTTGCGCTCGTGAATCGCTCAGATTTTTAAGGC